CCCGCCCCGCACCGGAGGGGGCGGGGCATGGTGAGGGGAGGGGCAAGTGTGGTAAGGAGGGGGGCACACGTGTGTGAGCACACGCCCGCACACACGCGCACGTAAGGCAGGAGTGTGGGTGGGTGCACACGTGTGGGCACACGCATGTACAGCCACGTACGCGGGGCAACGGGAGTGTGTACACACGTGTGTGGTCGCACATGCACACCTACACGCATGTACGGTCACACACGTGCCCACATGCATATGCACACACGTGCACACGTGCACACACATGTACAGTCACATATGTGTGACAAAATGCATGTGTACACACATGTACAACTGCACACACACCCCCACATGCATATACGCATGCCTTCACGCGTGTACAGTCACACATGTGCACATATGCATATGCACATACATGCACACGTGCACACATGTACAGTCACATATGTACACTATACATGCGTATACACATGTACAGTCGCACACATGTGCCCACATGCATATGCACATATGCACACCCATATGCACACACGTGCACATGTGCACACACATGTACAGTTACATACATGTGACAAAATGCATGTGTACACACATGTACAATCGCACACACCCTCCCACATGCATATACACACACCTCCACGCATGTACAGTCGCACACATGGGCCCACATGCATAGGCACACATGTGCATGCACAGGCACACACATGTACAGTTGCATGTATGGCAACATGCATGTGTGCACACATGTACAACCACACACACTTGCCCACATGCATATGCACATACGCACATCCATATGCACACGCGTTCACACACGTACAGTTACATACGTGTGACAAAATGCATGTGTACACACATGTACAATTGCACACACACACCCACATGCATATACACACACCTCCATGCATGTACAGTCGCACACGTGGGCCCACATGCATATACACACACCTTCACGCATGTACAGTCACACACATGGGCCCACATCCATATGCACACACGTGCACACACATGTACAGTCACATACATGTGGCAACATGCATGTGTACACATATGTACAATTGCACACATGGGCTTACATGCCTATACACACACCTCCACGCATGTGCAGTCACACACACGTGACCACATGCATGTGCACACACGTATAGTCACATATGCATAACATACATGCGTATACACATGTACAGTCACACACATGTGCCCACATGCATATGCACACACGTGCACACGTGCACACATATGTACAGTCACATATGTGTGACAAAATGCATGTGCACACAAATGTGCAACTGCACACACACCCCCACATGACTATACACACACCTACACGCATGTACAGTCACATACATGGGCCCACATCCATATGCAGACACGTGCACACGTGCACACACATGTACGATTACATACGTGTGACAAAATGCATGTGTACACACAGGTACAACTGCACACACACCCCCACATGCATTTACGCACACCTTCATGCATGTACAGTCACAAACACGTGCCTACATGCATATGCATACACATGCACACATATGTACAGTCACATATGCACAACATGCATGTGTACACACATGTACAGTCGCACCCACCCACATGCCTATATACACACCTCCATGCATGTACAGTCACACACATGGGCCCACATCCATATGCACACAAGTGCGCATACATGTACAGTGACACACGTGCACACATGCATATGCACATACATGCACACGTGCACACATGTACAGTCACATAGGCACAACATACATGTGTACACACATGTACAGTCACACACATGTGCCCACATGCATATGCACACACGTGCACACATATGTACAGTTACATACGTGGACAAAATGTGTGTGTACACACATGTACAACTGCACACACACCCCCACATGCATATATACACACCTCCACACATGTACTGTCACACACATGGGCCCACATGCATAGGCACACATGTGCATGCACAGGCACACACATGTACAGTCACATGTGGCAACATGCATGTGTGCGCACATGTACAACCACACACACTTGCCCACATGTATATGCACATACGCACATCCATATGCACACACACGTGCACACGTGCACACACATGTACAGTCACATATGTGCAACAAAATGCATGTGTATACACATGTACAACTGCACACACACCCCCACATGCATATACGCACATCGCACCCACCCACATGCCTATATACACACCTCCATGCATGTACAGTCACACACATGGGCCCACATCCATATGCACACAAGTGCGCATACATGTACAGTGACACACGTGCACACATGCATATGCACATACATGCACACGTGCACACATGTACAGTCACATAGGCACAACATACATGTGTACACACATGTACAGTCACACACATGTGCCCACATGCATATGCACACACGTGCACACATATGTACAGTTACATACGTGGACAAAATGTGTGTGTACACACATGTACAACTGCACACACACCCCCACATGCATATATACACACCTCCACACATGTACTGTCACACACATGGGCCCACATGCATAGGCACACATGTGCATGCACAGGCACACACATGTACAGTCACATGTGGCAATATGCATGTGTGCGCACATGTACAACCACACACACTTGCCCACATGTATATGCACATACGCACATCCATATGCACACACACGTGCACACGTGCACACACATGTACAGTCACATATGTGCAACAAAATGCATGTGTATACACATGTACAACTGCACACACACCCCCACATGCATATACGCACACCTCCATGCATGTACAGTCACACATATGGGCCCACATGCCTATGCACATACATGCACATGTGCACACATGTACAGTCACATATGCACAAAATACATGTGTATACACATGTACAGTCACACACACGTGCCCACATGCATACGCACACATGTGCACAGGTGCACACACATGTACAGTCACATACATGTGACAAAATGCATATGTACACACATGTACAATGGCACACACACACCCCCCCCTGCATATACACACACCTCCATGCATGTACAGTCACACACATGGGTCCATATGCATATGCACACATGTGCACACATGTGCACACTCATGTACAGTCACATATGTGTGGCAATATGCATGTGTGCACACATGTACAGTCACACACACGTGCCCACATGCATATGCACATATGCACATCCATATGCACACACGTGCACACACATGTACAGTCACATATGCGTGACAACATGCATGTGTACACACATGGGCAATTGCATACACGTGCCCACATGCATATGCATACACATGCACACATGTGTACACATACACGTGACAACATGCATGCATACACACATGTACAATCACACAAACATGCCCACATGCATGTGCACACACATACACGCATGTACGATTGCACATGTGACCATATGCATATATGCACACCTATACACGCATACAGTCACACACGTGCCCATATGCATATGCAGCCGCATACACACGTACAGTCACATATGTGCAACGACATGCATGTATACACACGTACAATCACATACATGCACATACAGTCACACACATACACACGTGCAGTCACACACAAGTGCCCACATGCATATGCACACACACATACAATCGCACACGTGTACCAAAATGGATATACACACCCATGCACACACACGCACAGTCATATACACATACCCATATGCATAGACACACATGCACACGCATGTACAGTCACACACATGGGCCCACATGCATATGCACACACGTGCACATACATGTACAGTCACACACATGCACACACGTACACACAGATGCATGCATGCAGGCATACACACAGGCATACAGATGCATGCCAGCACATGTGGACACACAAGTCCACACACATATGTACAGACACACTCACCCACTCAACACATGTATGCACACATGCATACACTCATCTGCACACACGTGTGCATGGCCACACACATGCCTGCTCATTCAATGCACATGCAAAGCCATATGTGAACAGACATACATGCATGCACACACGTGTATTTATGCACAATCTCACCTGCACACACATGTGCATACACATGAACGCAAACACACATGCAAGACACTTCTATGTACACACACATGCACACACAGGTGCACTTACAGAGGTGCACACACCACACATGCATGTGCACAGTCACATGCACATACACAAACACACCTTCACACATGCATGCACTCACGTATGTGTACACTCACACTTGCACACACAGATATGCACATACATGAATGCACACACATATGTGCACAAGCAAGCACATGCATGTACACACACCTGTACACATGCACAGTCATATGGATGCACCCACGTTCACACATGTGTACACCCAAGTGCACGCACATATGCAAGCACATATGTTCACACAAATGCATGCATTTGGACACGCACCCAGATATAAGTGCAAACGTGCACACACACAGTGGACAAGGCTATCCACACACAGGGCTGTGCTCACACTTGAACACATGTGCACATGCACATATTTGCACACACATATTTGCAATCACCCATGCACACACATATGCATAAGAACATACGCACGCATGCGTGCACATGTGCACAACTGCACACTCAAGACATACATGGACACACACGGACACATGCAGACATGTGGACACTCACACATATGCACATACATATGTATAAGTGTGGGCAAATGCATGCACACAAACACATACACCCAAGTGCACACACATGCACGTGTGCATGCACACAGCCATGGACAATCACCTACACACAGAAATTCATGCACACATATGAGCACACGTGTGCACACACAAGCATGCTA